AAAAGAATATTCAAAGACTAAAAGAGGTTTATCAAAGAGGAAAGAAAATATAAGAAAAATATGGGAAGAGTCTAGAAGATCCATCATAGAATGTAGTAATCAACTAACAGATTTCAGAAAACAATACAGAAAATGCTAAGGAGGAAATTGCCAGACATAGTTCAGAAAACTTCCCAAAACTGAAAGAGTCCGTGTTTTCAGATGGAGACGGCACACCGACTAATCAACATAATGGATAAAAGAAAATTACACAGGCACTCCATCAGAACACTAAAGGACAAAGAGAAGGTCCAAGACACAGACAGAGACAGAACAAGAAAATGACACACAAAAGGAATGGGAACCTACTCTGTGTAATATTGTAATGGCAGATATCATACATCTGTTTATATGCATAGGTTTAAGTTTTTCAAAATAATAAGTTGGTGGGAAAGGAATACAATAAAATACAAGTAATATAAAAAGTAAAAGCAAAAATTCCCAGATACTTGTATATACATTTGTTTCAATGGAAGGATAATCCAAAAATGAATGACAGTCAACTATATTGTGAAGGAGAAGACAGGAGAAACAAGAGGGTACTAAAAACTAGATTTTTCTGGATGTACATTTTCCATACTGTTTTAAAAATATACTTTGTAAGGGGTGCCTGGGTGGCTTAGTCGGTTAAGCGTCCGACTTTTGCTTAGGTCACGATCTCGTGGTTCGTGGGTTCGAGCCCGGCGCTGGGCTCTGTGCTGACTGCCAGCTCAGAGCCTGGAGCCTGTTTCAGTCTGTGACTCCCTCTCTCTCTGACCCTCCCTTGCTCACGCTGTCTCTCTCTCTCTCCTAGAAATAAAAAAAACAAAAAACAAAAATAAAAAAATAAAAAAAAATAAAAATATACTTTGTAAATTATTCTTCTCTTCTGAATAGCCTATCAGTGATGATTTTCATTTCCTACTTTGAGTATTATTTAGTGGTGTGGTATAATGTCTCCATATTCATCCATCCAAGAGACCTAGTGTATAACTACTAGAAGCATTTGTAAATGCTTCTAAACATTAGAAAAATGTCCTATATTAGAACTATTAGGCCTTTATTATAATATTTTTCTGCATGATTGCTCCTAGTCTGACTGTGATTTGTTAAATATCCTCTCCTTACTAGTTTGTTTTCCTCATTTCAATCATTTTTCCTATCTGTGACATACATTTTGATTACTATTTGATGCAAAAATAATCAGGGTGGTGTCTTCATTAGGCTTTGTACCATTTTTCATTGTAGAGATTTCTTTCTTTCTTTTTTTTTAAAATATTTTTATTTATTTCTAGGAGAGAGAGAGAGACAGTGTGAGCAGGGGAGGGTCAGAGAGAGAGGGAGACACAGACTCCGAAATAGGCTCCAGGCTCTGAGCTGGCAGTCAGCACAGAGCCCGACGCGGGGCTCGAACCCACGAACCGCGAGATCATGATCTAAGTGAAAGTTGGACGCTTAACCGACTAAGCCACCCAGGCACCCCTTTTGTGTAGAGATTTCTTAAGAGCTGAAAGCTGCAAGAAGTGAAGTTATGAAGAACAAAGCTTCTCAATGAGAATTTACAAAATTAATTCACTCACATACTTTACTGTCTGAACCCAAAGCTCCCCAGACTGGTTCCTCCAAGGCTAAGCCAGGAAAATGAAACCATGAGATCTACAAAAGTCTTTTCGGTAGTATTTTTTTTTTTTTTTTTTTTTTTTACTTTTTGGGTGCGGAGAGCCTAACTTGCGGTCAGCTACAGAGCTAGAACATGTTGGAGCAGTATTCAAATCATGCCCCCTCCCTGCCAAAGTTCAGTCAAGAAGGCCTGGAGATAATAGAGTGATTTGTTGTTGGCAGATTCTGCTAAATCCCAAAAAGTTCTGTTTGAAGCTGGCATAAGGTCAGCAAATAAAACCCAAAGCTTGCTGAACACAGGAAACTTAATATGGAGTTTCTGCAAAAAGCTAAGATCCCAAATGACTCTACTTCCAAAATAAAACTAAATCAGAAATAAACTTTGCCATCTAGATGGGATTAGCAAAGGACAGTGGCTAGACCTTACCTTTCTCAAGTATGTCTTGACCTAATAATCATCACAAACCAGCCTTGTGGCTATATGTAGGAGTCTGAAAATTTTCAAGGGAATCATTTGAAGTGGCCTTAGGTTGGATGCATCCTCAAAACAATAGCTGAAGGAAAAAATTACCAGTTTATGAAAAGATGAAGTTATATCCTTTATGCCCAAGTTTAAAAAATTAACCCCAGATGATTCAAAGATTTACATGTTAAGACAGAAACTTTAGCATTCTTAGTAGAAATTCCCTTTAGACCTCAGGGCAAGGAAGGATTTCTTAAGCAAGACATGGAATGCACTTACTATAAAGACTTACAAGTCTGACTATATTAAAATTTAAAATTTTACTTATCAAAACACACCTTAACATGAAACAACAATTTAAAATAGAAGAAGACATTCACAATACACACAATTTAAAAAAGATTAGTAAGATTTTAAGGGAGAATACTTGAAAGGGAAAACTTTCATAAATTATTTTATGTCCTTGAGAGGTTTTCGTTTACAATGTTCATATATGGTGTTGATTTTTTAAGTTAAATTAAAGTTAGAGTCAATATTTCCTCTCATAGAGATTATTTGATAACTGTTGAAGCCCAGATGATGGGGATGAGGGAATTCAGGACATTAAAACCATCAACCTTTTGTAAATTATCAAAATGTTCCATTAAAAAGATTTTTAAAACAAACACATCATAGCTAATTTTAAGAACAAAATAGTTTATATAGCATATGATATCTATTCTAGAACTACCAAACAAGATTTCTAGAAATGCATTAGAAAAAGTATAAGAATATGCATGAGATATAAGCGTCAGGACAATGATTTCCTGTGGGAAAGGAAAGGAAAGGTGCTTTAAGCAATACCTATTGAATAACATTTTTTAATGTTTAAATTTTTTTATGTTAATTAATTTATCTTTTTAATATTTTAGTTATTTCAGTGAGAGAGAGAGAGAGAGAGACAGCGTGAGCAGGGGAGGGCCAGAGAGAGAGGGAGATACAGAATCTGAAACAGGCTCCAGGCTCTGAGCTGGCTGTCAGCACAGAGCCAGACAGGGCTCAAACCCATGAACCGTGAGATCATGACCTGAGCGGAAGTCAGCAGCGCAACCGACTGAGCCACCCAAGAGCCCCAATGTTAATTTTTTTAAAAATTTTTTAATTTTTAAAAATTTTTTTACAGTTTACTGTCAAGTTGGTTTCCATATAACACCCAGTGCTCATCATCACAAGTGCCCTCCTCCATGCCCATCACCCCCCCTCACACCTGTCAGTCCTCAGTATTGTTAATTTATTTTTGAGAGAGAGAGAGAGAGCGAGCATGGGCAGGGGAAGGGCACAGAGAGAGGGAGACAGAATCTGAAGCAGCTCTGAGCTGTCACAAGCCTGATGTGGGGCTCCAACTCAAACCATGAGATCATGACCTGGCTGAAGCCAGACACTCAATCATTTGAGCCAACGAAGCATCCCTTTAATGTTTTTTTAAAGTTTATTTATTTTGAGAGAGAGAGAGAGAGAGAAGGGGAAGGGCAAAGAGAGAAGGGGACAGGTGATTCCAAGTGGGCTCTGTACTCACAGCAGAGAGCCCTATGTGAGGCTGGCACCCACGAACCTGGAGATCATGACCTGAGCCACCCAGGTGCCCCTAACTGATAGCTATTTTAAAGAAGAGAGGTGAGGCAAATGTGGGAAAATGTTAACATCTTGTTAAATGGGGCAGTGGTGGGGGTTGTTATATAGGTATTTGTTATATAACTTTTTGAATGTGTGAAATCTTTCATAATTTAAAATTTTAACTAAAATTAAGAATATTGGGAAGAGAATTGCACCAACACTAGTTGTTTTAGGATGTGGTAATTAAACGGGATTTATCTATAGTTTCTACATTTTCTGTAATGACCATCTCTCTGTAATGACCAAACATAAAAATGTTTCTATTTTTAAAATTTTTATTATTTTTTTAAGTTTAATTATTTGGAGACGGAGACTGTGTGAGCAGGGGAGGAGCAGAGAGAGAGAGAGAGAGAGAGAGAGAGGGAGGCAGAGAGATATATATAAAGAGAGACAAAGAAGGAGACAGAGAGACAAAGACTCCCAAGCAGATTCTGCGCAGAGCCCAATGCGGGGCTCAAACTCACAAACCATGAGATCATGAGCTGAGTGAAAACCGAGAGTCCGAGGCTTAACCTGAGCCACCCACGCACATCTCTAACGTTTATGTGTTTTTTTTTTAATTTTTTTTAATGTTCCATTTATTTCAGAGAGAGAGAGAGACAGTGTGAGCAGGGGAGGGTCAAAGAGAGAGGGAGACACAGAATCTGAAACAGGCTCCAGGCGCTGAGCTGTCAGCACAGAGCCCGACGGGGGGCTCGAACCCACGAACCGTGAGATCATGACCTGAGCCGAAGCCGGATGCTTAACCTGCTGAGCCACCCAGGCGCCCCTAACGTTTATGTTTTAACACACGACACACTTCCTTGAATAATTTTGAAGTACTAATCAACCTGAGAGTCGGGACACAACAGGGAGCAGAAGAAAGTGGAGTATAGAGTCGATGAGCCGGCCCTCGGCCTGATCTACCTACTTACCCCTGGAAGGTTAACAGAAACCTTAACCTCGCACGAAGGTGACTTGGGGCAATGAGGCTGCCGATTCAAACCGCACCGTGAACCAGTTACGTGCTGGGGCAGGGGCCTTAGAAGCTAAGTGATACCTTACTCAGCGGAGACGACCACGGAAAGCTGCTGAGAGCCGGCTGGAACTCTAACGCTAGTTCAAAGTCCAGCAGGAAGTCGGGTGGGGGGCCCCTCAGCGCTTCCAGGCAGGGGTGCCGGGTGCCAATTGGATGGGCTCATCCGGAACCCGTGTGCGGAGTCGCAGGAAGAGGCGGGGTTGGCCGGAAACTTAAAGGGGAGCGGGAGGGGGGGGGGGCGCAGGCTTCGGGCCTCGCCGGAGGTCTGCGGGGGCTGCCGGACGTAGCATGGCAGACGACGCAGGTGCTGCTGAGGCCCAGGGGGACCGATGGACGCCAGCCCCTTCCATGGACAGAGTGCTGAGGTCACCACTTCCACCACCGCGGATTCGCACCCGGCCGTGGTGGTTTCCCGTGCAGGACCTGAGAGACCCGCTGGTGTTTTACCTCGAGGCATGGCTGGCTGACTCCATCTTCGGTGAGCCACCCTAGGTGTGGGGGGCTGTAACCCCCTCCACTCCGAAAGAGACCCTGCAGAGCAGCGCTCGCTCGACAGTCTGCTGAATTTGCAGGCCGCGTTGGACGCCAAGATGCCCACCTTCCCACGCTTCCCTTCAAATCTAGCTCCTCCTGACCCTGTTGCGCCATGTTTCCCTTCAAAGTTACTCTTTTGCTCTTTAGGCCCAGACCGAGCCATCATTCCAGAAATAGAGTGGATGAGCCAAGTCCTGCTGACGGTGGACATAGTTAACTCTGGGGACTTGGTTGAAATAACCGTCTTCGGACAGCCGCGTGTACAGAATCGGGTGAAGAGCGTGCTCCTGAGCCTGGCAACCTGGCATCGGAAACATCGTGCCCGAGGTGAGGGTCTTTGAAAACCTGAATGTGGAAGGAGCCACCGGTGAACCACCTGGCCATACCTCCTCTCTTCCAGCCTTTATTGCCTTAGGAAAACCTTTTGCAGTTTCCTAAACCCAGTGTTCTGCATGCCTCTAGTGTTCTGGGCATCCCTGTGTGAGAGGAGTGCAAGTAGGACCTTGGGAAAGCAAATCTGAGATGTTCAGCCCCCTCGCTGCCCACGCAGCCTCAGCTTGGTTTTACCACTGGGTCCAGATCTCAGGTTCAGAGTCCCCACCTGAGAAATGGTGCTGCTAGCACCTTCCCTCTTCCCCCAGCCCCCTCAATGCGGAGTACTTTGGAACAGTGAGCATTTTTCCTTCTCCAGCTGAGAAGATGAGACAACTTGAGGAGTTCTTGAAGACCCACGCATCAGGTCCCCAGACTCCTGAAAATCATGCTGCATAAGTATTTTCAGGAGCATGGTGAGAACAGTCCTGCTTCTGCTGCTAAAGTTCAAGAGAAGCACGTATGCATAAATCTCTGTGTTCTTTTTTTCCTGTGTCTTGATGGGTAGGGCTTTGATTATGATGATGCAAAAGTGAGTTTGTAGTGCCATTCCAGAAATGAACTGAAATTCCTTTTTGTCCAATGCTATACAGATCTTTGCTCACTTAAAATTAAGCAAATATATAAAAGATTGACTCAGTTCATTCATGTCTTGATGTGAGAGTTGGGTAAAAGGCTGATACTAGTGGTTTTTTATTTTTTCCTGTGCTTCTATAATTTTGAATCTACTAACCCTTGTATGGTTTTATGGCCACAGTCAGACCCCTCAGCACAGGCCCATGAATTTGCATTTCTAATTAGCTCACAGGTAATACCAATGCTTCTCCTCTGAGGCTCTCACTTTGAAGCTTGTGGTTTGGCCCCTGGGCAGCACCTACTCTGCACTTTCTTCTTGGAGTGGAGCCTGCTTCCCTGTACGTGGGTAGGTGTTTCAACATGAAGCCTGAAGCGATCGGTTCTTTATTCTGTTGGCCTTGTGATTCACCAGAGGACAGTCAGGTCCTAGGCAGCTTGACTGTTGGAAAGGCATCCTGCCGCCAAGCCAGCTGTCTCCTTTTCCTGCGAGGCCTGCACAGGTGTCCTGCATGAGCTGGGTTGTTTTTCCATTACGCATCACCATGCCAGGACTCCTTTGTGTGAAACAGCTCCAACCTCGCGCTGCCTCCACTTTCAGGAAGCAGGATTCTTTGGGGGAGAGGTTGTGGAGAGCTCTGTGGCTTCGGAGTTGGCATTGATTGAACTCCTGCAATTTCTTTACCCCTTAGCAGTAACGGATTCTAGCTGTTTGCAAGGGTTGTAAACACACACATACACAAGTCTTTTAAAATGTGCTGCTTTGGGGGAGTTCTGGTGGCTCAATCGGTTAAGCCTCTGACTTCTGCTCAGGTCATGATCTCAGTGTGAGTTCCAGCCCCGCATCCAGCTTTTTGCAGTCAGGGCAGAACCTGCTTGGGATCCTCTGTCTCCCTCTCTCTCTCTCTGTCCGTCCCCCACTCGTGTGTGTCCTCACGCGTGCTATCTCAAAAATAGGTAAACATTAAAAAATTTAAAATGTGCTGCTTTGATTACAAGTGATAGTGAACATTTTTCTACTTCATGTTTTTGTAAAAATGCTTTATTTTTTATTCATTCCTATATTCTTACTGCTTTCAACTCTGAAGATAATAAAAATTCCTATCTTTATGAGCTTTTGTAACAAATAATGGCCCATTATAACAGTATTTTCCACCCCTTTGTTTCTCAAATTTTTTGTATGTGAAAAATTTCATTTTATTTAGTTAAACTGGTTATTGTTTTCTGTCTGATTTCCACTCCTCCTCATCCCACCCCCTTACTTTTAAGCATAGGTACTCCGGCATTTATCCGTCTGCAGAAATTTGATTTAAAAAACCCTACAGGTTATTTCTAGTAGGATATTTACAAAACCATTGAACATTTTTTACTGTTATTTGGAGGAAGATTATGCTTAAAATACTCTAATTGTCTAAAAGTTATCCAGAATTTGGGGCACCTGTGTGGCTCAGTCCATTGAGTGTCCGACTTTGGCTCAGGTCATAATCTCACAGTCCTTCTTCTGTGGGTTTGAGCCCTGCATCGGGCTCTGTGCTGACAGCTCAGAGCCTGGAGCCTGTTTTGGATTCTATGTCTCCCTCTTTTTCTGCCCCTCCCCAGCTCGTGCTCTCTCTTTGTCTCAAAAATAAACGTTTAAAAAAAAAATTAGATAAAAGGTGAAATGAGATCCTATGGGTAGGCCCTTAACCCAATATGACTGGGGTCTTTCTGAGAAGAAGAAATATGCACACAGATAGGTGCATGCATGGAGAAAAGACCATGTGAGAAGACAGCAAAATGGCAGCCATCTGCCAACTAAGGAAAGAGGCCTCAGAAGAAACCAATCCTGCGGACACATTGATTTTGGACTTTCAGCCTCCACATCTTTGAGAAAATATTTAAGCCACACAGGCTGTTATTTTGTTAAGGCAGCCCTAGCAAACGAACACACATTTAGTATGGTTTTTCTCTGTGTTGCCTTTCACTATATGCTGATACAGTATTTTTACTACCTTCATAACTTTTAATAACTAAAAATAAAAATCAAATAAAATAGGTGCACCTGGGTGGTTCAGTCAGTTAAGCATCCAACTTTGGCTCAGGTCATGATCTCATAGTTCATGAGTTTGAGTCCCATGTCAGGCTCTGTGCTGATAGCTTGGATCCTGGAGCCTGCTTCAGATTCTGTGTCTTTCTCTCTCTCTGCCCCCTCTCCACTTGCTCCATCTCTCTCTCAAAAAAAATTACAAAAATTAAGTAATAAAAAAGTTGTCATCTACTTTTCAGAATTTGAGGGTAATACAAGCTCCAATACTTAGCTAATATCACATACCAGTCTATGTGCCAAGAACCTAAATAGGATGCTTCGAACATGATTGACTTGCTAAGGTCATAGAGCTAGGACATTGGGATGGATGGATGGGTGAGATTTGAACCAAAACATTGATTTCCAGGATCCAAACTCATTATACTTTCCCACTTGCTTTCATTTTCCCTCCACACCTGAATTTAGACTCATTTCTCATAGTTTTTCTTTTTAAGAGGAATTAGAATAAACTTGTTAATTGTAAAGAATAAGGGACAAGACAATGTTTTTTTTTTTTTAAAGTTTATTTTTTGAGAGAGAACCAGAGAGAAAGAAAGAGGATTCCAAGTAGGCTCTGCACTATCAGCACAAAGCCCACCACAGGGCTTGAACTCATGAACCATGAGATCATGACCTGAGCCTCAACCAAAAGTTGGATGCCTAGCCTACTTTGCTGCTGAGCCACCTAGGTGCCCCATATTGACTTTTTGTTGTTGTTGTTAGTTTGAGAGGGAGTGTGAGGGAGAGAGACAGAGTGTTAATCTCACACAGGGTCCACGATGTCAGCACGAGAGCCTGACACAGGGCTCCTTTCATCCTAATGAGCCGTGAGATCATACCTGAGCTGAAATCAAGAGTTGGATGCTTAACCGAATGAGCCACCCAGGAGTCCCTTGTTTGTCCCACTCTTAGTGATATTTTTAAAAAGCCTTGTTTTGGGACATCTGGGTAGCTCAGTTGGCTGAGCGGCTGACTTCAGCTCATGTCATGATCTCTCAGTTTGTGAATTTGAGCCCCACATCGGGCTCACTGCTGTCGGCACAGAGCCCACTTTGGATCCTCTGTCTCCTCTCATGCGCTCTCTCTCAAAACTAAAAAAAAATAAAAAGGCCCTATTTTGATTGAAAATGTGAAACAGAGATTTGGATGTGCTAAATAGTGCCAACCTGGCTTAACTAAAGTGAAGCTGTGGGAAAACCTTGAGATGTGAGGTCTACAGCTAACCTCAAAAGTTAATCTAGCTACAGAATCTATCAACAATGGACTCTCTTTCCTTGATCCCTCTAGTCAGCCTATTCAAAAACTGTACAGACTGATCTTTTTACTAGCCGCCAATAGTTTTTTCTGCAAAAAAGTACAAACCTGTCATTTCCAGACTTCTGCAGTTTTGCCTTTGTTCATTTACAACCTTTTTTTCATTGACTGCCTTGGGTCTCAGTTCCCAGAGCCTTCCCATCTAATTAATCATCTTTTAGGTTGGTAAAATATACTCTTTGAGGTGTATATAATGTACATGTAGTTTAAAGAATGAAAGGAGCACTCCAGTGTACCTTAATAGAACAAACCCAGTATTTTTGGAAGACATCTATATACATCTTTTCTCTCAACCAATTTTCTGTTTTTAAATAAGTTCCTTTATCTGGAAAACAAATGACCAAGACTGCCAATACAACACCGAGAGGCTTGTCCTCTCATATTGAAACATTCTATAAAGCCACATAGAACAGTGGGATAGGTATTGAAAAAAATAGAAAAGTGACATATGTGGACATAAGTACAAGTGTTAAAAGTGATTTCCTATAAGAGAATAGGTTGAAAAGGGCAGATAGACAGCTCTGGAGACCTTCAGCTGGGTGAAAACTCAGGGGGCACTGCTTCATGCCCTACTTTGAGAGGAGTCCAATAGGTTAAAAAAATTTTTTTGAGAGGCAATGTGAGCAGGGGAAGGGCAGAGAGAGGGAGACAATCTGAAACAGGCTCCAGGCTCCAAGCTGTCAGTACAGAGCCTTACATGGGGCTTGAACTCACAAACTGTGAGATAATGACCCAAGCCGAAGTTGGTTAACCAACTGAACCACCCAGGACCCCCTAATAGGTGTTTTGTTTTGTTTTTTAATTGAACATTTGTTCTGTATTTACTGATATTTCCCTTCTGGATTAAATAGATACATTAAGTCTTCATTCAATTGAAACTTTGAGCCTGCATTGTTTTGAGTCTTAAGTGTTTGAAGTTCACTCCACCTAGGCTTTACTTTGCCTCTTCTAAAAATAGTTAATAACTTATTATAAATTCAACTTTACATTTTATTTCCCTTACTAAGGTTAAGTGCTTAAAATTGGAGTGGTCATCTATTACTGGTGGCCAGAGTATATGATAGATATACCACTCCCTTGGTCTTTTCTTTTTCTCCTTAGTCTTTAAAGTTAGGTTTCCTTGAAACTTTTAAATGAACATTTTTATAGCAAAGATTAACGTGTGTTGTTTTATTTATCCAAGCACCCAGCTGTTCACAGTTTGCTTCCTTCTGCCAGTTACACCCTGGTGCCCAGCTTCTAGAGTAGAGCAGGAAGCCAAACATGATAAAGGTGCTGATTATCACTACAAAGACAACCATATTACAATATCTCAAATTAACCTGTACACCTTAAATTTACAGTGTTACAGGTCAGATATAGTTCAATTAAAAAAAAAAAAGCACCTGGGTGGCTCAGCTGGTTGAGCATCAGACTTCGGCTCAGGTCATGATCTCCCGGTTTGTGGGTTCCAGCCCTGCCGGTTCTATGCTGGCAACGCAGAGCCTGGAGCCTATTTCGGATTCTGTGTCTCCCTCTCTGGCCCTCCCCGCTCATGGTCTGTCTCTCTCAAAAATAAACATTAAATTTTAAAAAGTGGCAAAGAAGGCTAGCCTTCAACCTGCACCAGCGCACTAGGGGAGGAGTCTCTAGTACTGCTAGTGTCTCACTCACGGTAAACCTCACTGAGGGTGTGAAGGTCAGATGACCTCGACCAAACAAGGACCACAGCAGAGCAGTCCTGCCTCTTTCTCCCAATTTTCTCCTTCCTCACCGTCAGCTGTCCAGGCTGGGAAGTCACTCGCTGCTTCCAGCGCGACGACATGCCCAGCCAGGAGGACCGTATTGGAACCAAGTTTTTTCACCCCATATCACCTGAGAGTAGAAACGCCACAGATACAAGAAATTTTCCAGGGAGGACGGACTCGATGGGCGGGAGAAACCTCTTAACAGGCAAAACCAGATGTTTGCGGTTAAAGAACACAAGACGTCTCACCTGCCTCTATAGAGAGCTAGAGCTAGAGAGCAGCCTAGGGCAGATACTGGCTCCTGGAGGAATGGTCTCTCCCTCTCCGTTTACCTGATAATTAACAGACGCTAGGGAAATTCAGTTCTTTATTAGAATTCTTTAGATCGGTGTTTGCAAGCATTTGATAACGGAGGCAGGGACCAAGAACTATCCACACCATTCTTTCCCCAGCTTCTGCAGCAAGAAGCAGGACTTAAATGGACAGAGCTCCAGTAAGATCGTTGTCTGGCTCCTGCTCCGCGGCCGGGAGTTCTTTCATAACCTGGTAACCGGGCCCTGGGTAGCGTTCGGGGAGCTCTGCGTCGCCGCCTCATCGACTGCGCTGGGGGAGCGCGGAGAGGCCGCCTCCCGGGCTGCGTCGGGGTCCTGCTGGGTCGCCGTCTCACCGACTGCGTTCGGGTCCTGCTGGGTCGCCGCCTCCCGGGCTGCGTCGGGGTCCTGCTGGGTCGCCGCCTCCCGGGCTGCGTCGGGGTCCTGCTGGGTCGCCGCCTCCCGGGCTGCGTCGGGGTCCTGCTGGGTCGCCGTCTCACCGACTGCGTCGGGGTCCTGCTGGGTCGCCGCCTCACCGACTGCATTCGGGTCCTGCTGGGTGGCCGCCTCCCGGGCAGCCTTCGGAGAGCTTTGGGTCGCCGTCTCGCGGACTGCGTCGGGGCCCAGCTGGGTCGCCGCCTCCCGGACACACTTCGGAGAGCTCTGGGTCGCCGCCTCCCGAACACACTTCAGAGAGCTCTGGGTCGCCACCTCCGGAACTGTGTCGCGGGTCCCCTGAGTCGCCGCCTCCCGGACAGACTTTGGAGAGCTCGGTGTATCCTCCTCAGGGACAGCGTCAGGGTTCTGTTGGGTCGCTACATCCTGGGCAGGGGTCTTCTCTGAGCCTGGAAGAACAGTGTGGAGACCTTACCTGTGTCCCCTACCCTCTCCACAAAAAGATTTATCCAAATTGGCTGGGAGATTAGGGTTCGGAACCTGAGAGTGCATGGTTAATTTGGCCTTCTAGAGTCCTTGCAAGAAGGAAACCCTCTCCTGGACTGAGAGGATGAGACCGCTGCCCCGTGATATCCAGGAAGCATCAGGATCCCTACCAAGGAACCCATGGCCTGCCCAGGGTACCCCTCACTATTCCCGGTTTCATACTTTGTGACCGGAGTTGGCGATGATGGTCAGCCAAATTCATGATCATCTTGGATACATCTTTCTGGTAATAGGGCCGACCAAATATCAAGATCTCAGCCTCGCCCTCGGGGTCCCAATGATTAACGTGAAGCAGGGTCTGTGACACACACTCGACGTGTGGTATGTGCTCTCCTCCCGGACCTGTGCAGGAAGCAAAGAGGCTGTGAGGGGCGGGACTTGTTTGGGAGAGGAAGGCCGGGGTGGAGGGAGGTAGCGTTGGTTTGGGGCTAGGGCCACTGCAGAGGCTTGCTCTGGAACGCGGCCAGCCTGGGGGGCCAGGTGGGTAGGAGTTGGGGGGAAAGACCCACTCACCGAAAATCGCCTCCACCAGCCACGCCTCGAGGTGAACTGCCTTCGGACTCTTCAGGTACTCGGAGTGGAACCAATAGGGCCGCTTGGTGAGGTTACCCTGCACCTCGAATAGCGCCCCTTCTCGTTGCTCCAGCTGCACGAGCGTCGGAAACCGCTTAGGAGTGGCCATGGTGCAGTAGGCCTTGCTGCTAGTGTCCGTGCAGCTGCAAACCAAGAAGGTCAAGGTTAGTACCAGCTGCGGCAGTTGTGGCCTCGCCAGGGCCTTATTTCAAGGGCTTTTGGTAAGCCCCTCCCCATCCGCCTGGGCCTCTTCCCGAGATTGCGCGATTGCACTGGGTAGAGCACCTGGGCGCTATAGGCGGGGCCATTGGTCTGGACCCGCCCATTTCCCCAGGCGCTGCCAGCCCGAGGCTGAGCGCCTGGGTGGGGGCTTCTTATGGGAAGCAGGTCTCGGGGAGGTGAGGACAGCCCCGTAGAGGTAAGGAAAATCCAACATCTGGACAATACCTTTCAGAGAAGCCAACTGATATTAGCGGAGACACAGGTGCTTTTCAGACGGTTGTAATGGGATCGGGATTCCTGAGGGGTTGGAATGACCTTTTCATGGAAAACCTAATGAAATACATTGAGGAAGTAAAAGCTCAAGGAGTTAAAAAGGTGTTCAAGGGCTAAAGTCCCACTTTCTCGTGAACCCTGACTACTGAGTTCCCTCCTCAGAGGTCATCACATTTTCCAGCTTCTTCCTTAACCTGTCAGAGACAGCTGAGCACACCCAGCAGCAAATGGTCCATGTGCTTTGGACACCAGAGGGGAATTCATTGAAATTTTTTGGACGCCTTAATTCTCTAAGTAACATATTTCTATGTCTTGTTTTTTGTTTTGTCCAGTTTAAAACATTCCCCATCAATTGCTACTCAGGAACATAAAGTTATAGAGCTCTCGAATCAGTAGTTGGGGTGTCATGCCCATGCCCACCGGTGACAGATCCTCAGAACTCAGGTTCATCCTTGTATCCTCTGTGGGAGTTGTGCATGAGAAGTGCATGAGAAATTTGTATGTGTCTCACAGCATCAAAAGTCTTGAGACCTAAGCAGAATATGAACTAAGAGCCAAAGAAGGGCAAAATCCAGTCAAAGAATCACAGGATGGAAAATGAACTTCCATGTGTAGGCAGACTGACTAAGGGAGTGTATAACTGACACCCAAGCGTCTGGACTCCATAACTATCCCCTCTGGAGGTTTATGGACTCACTAATATAGCAACTATAAATTGAATTTTAATGTCCCATCAGTATTGCCAAAAAGAATCCAGTCCAAGAAGTAGTTCCATGAAAATCTCTAGTCTGAAATGTCTTTCTTGCACCAAATGATATTAGGATAATATATTGTTTCTGGGGCGCCTGGGTGGCTTAGTCGGTTAAGCGTCCGACTTTCGCTTAGGTCATGATCTCGCGGTTCGTGGGTTCGAGCCCCGCGTCGGGCCCTGTGCTGACTGCCAGCTCAGAGCCTGGAGCCTGTTTCAGTCTGTGACTCCCTCTCTCTCTGACCCTCCCCTGCTCATGCTGTCTCTCTCTCTCCTAGAAATAAATAAAAAAAAAATTAAAAAAAAAGGATAATATATTGTTTCTTAGTTGGGGTAGTACTTAGAGTTCTTTGCATGTTATTGTCATTATGCATGTGTAGAGATCTTTTACATCATTGAAGTTTTAGAATTGGAAATATTTAAGACAATTAAATCTAGAGTATTAATATTTAAAAGTGATCTTTCATTTATATAAAATCCTAGAATATGTGGACTAATCTATTGTGATAGAAGGCATGGAATAGTTGCCCAGGGAAGAGAATGGAGGGAGGAAGGGAATGGAAAGAGGCATTTGGAAACTCTTGGGGATGATGGAAGTGTGCATTATCTTGATGACAGTGATGGTTTCACTGGATGTGGTTTATATGTCAAAACTGGTCAGTTGTACACATTTTATTTATTAATTTTTAATCTTTATTTATTTTTGAGAGTGAGACCGAGAGAGACAGAGTGTGAGCAGAGGAGAGGCAGACATAGAATCTGAAACAGGCTCCAGGCTCTGAACTGTCAGCACAGAGGCTGACTTGGGGCTCAAACCCATGAACTGCGAGATAATGACCTGATCCTAAGTCGGACGCTTAACCGACTGAACCACCCAGGCGCCCCTGTACACATTTTAACGTAAGCAGTTTATTGTGCTTTATTCTTCAAAGTGGTTTAAAAAGAAAGGAACCATATACATAGTATTTTATATTTCTGTAATATTTTAGATAAATTTATTATATTAGGAAAACAGTTTTGGAACTCCAATTTAAAATATATAAGTAAAAAAATCAAATATATAATTAAGTAATGGATTTAGATATGTGACTGTAAGATGAAATCTTAGTTTATATTCAGTGTTGGATCACTGAGGAAAACTTCAGTTTCAATATATTCAGAAGTTTTATTTTATTTACAGGAATTATTTAGTAATTGAGAATTTCTTGTTATTTGAGGCTATTAAAGTATTTTACAATGCTCTTTACCATGTATGAGAATTTTTTTGTGTTTTTTTTCTTGTTGTTTTTGAGATTGTTTAGTTAATTAAATTTGTCTAGGAGACCTGGTGTCTTCAGTAGCCCATTAAACATAACTCTTAAAACTTTCTAGGCTTAAGAATAGGATAGCAAGTTTTGAAAGAAAAACTTGAAAGCTTAAGAAGGATGGACTAAAGGTTTGGTTTTTACAATCAAAAATTTTTTTAATGTGTATTCATTTTGAGAGAGAGAGAGAGTGCATGTGTGAGCAGGGGAGAGAGAATCCCAAGCAGTCTCCTACACTGTCAGCACAGAGCCCACGCTGGGTAGATCTAACACACTGTGAGGCTATGACCTGAGCAGAAACCTAGAGTCAGCCACCCAGCCAACTGAGCCACCCAGGTGCCTTTGGTTTTTACAGTTTTGGGAAATACTAATTTTCAAAGAAATCTCTAAACACTCCTTTGTATGCACAGAAATCACCCCCAGGGTTCCAAAGAAGAAAAAATACACCAACATCTTCCCCTCGTCTCTCAGGCTACCTGTATATATCAGACCTGGTACCCGCAGCCCCCAACTCAGTAATATGATTCTGTTAGAGTATTCAAGTTTATACTATTATGACCTTGTAAACAATATTCATAGCTGCAATATGATTTCTTGGATAAATTTTTATTTTTCTGGGTGTTATTAATTGCTTTTTTTTGTTCAAATCATCCTTTTTCTTTTTAAGATGCTTACTCTTCTGGGCACCTGGGTGGCTCAGTCAGTTAAGTGTCTGATTTCAATTCAGGTCATGGTCTCTTGGTTTGAGTTTCCTTCTCTCTTGGTTCCTGTGTTCGAGCTTCCTTCTAGGAAAGAAGCACTGTCAGTACAGAGTCTGTTTGGGGGTCTCTCTCCTTCCCTCTCTCTCTTTGCCTTTCCCCCTCTTACACTATCTCTCTCTCTCTCTCAAAATAAATAAACTTTAAAAAAATGCTTATTTTTCTATGTGCTCCTCCTTTATCTCCAGACTGCCCAACTGTGTAAATTTTCTCCTGTCCTTTCAAGCCCAGCAAGCACTTTATCATTTCATCTTGACAGTATTGCTCCTTCAGTCTTACCTGCTCCAATCTAAGTTAGTTGCTTTGCAGGCCCATCATCCTGTGGTTTACTACAGCCTTTCTGGTATTGGGTCCTGGGCTCTCAGAATCCCACGACTTTCTTTCTTTGTGCGTGTGACTGTTTGGTTTTGTTGTTATTGTTTGTTTGTTTAGTAGATTTGATAGTAGTAGCAGTAACATTTGGGCAAAAATTATTAAGCTGATAGATAATCATCTTCAAGAGGATCCTTGTGGTTTCTGCTGTGCTTATCTTTCCCACTTTGATTCTGATTAGCTGCCAGGAAGCTGAGGCTGAGCTAGCCTGATTCCAGGAAGGCAGCAGAAAATTAGAGGCAGAGTTGTGGGCACAATTAGTTCAGGCTAAACAAAGAAATAGAGACTTGCAAGCTGATAACAAGACTGAAACGTGCAGTGGAAGCATTGAAGGCAATTGTGGCAACAGATGCTGATGCCTAATGTGCTAGGTTCAGTAAGATGAGACATAGATAGTTTCAGGTGGAACTTAAGAGCATTAGGGAACAACAACAGCAACAAAACAAAAGCAAGTTTCAAGGGGATTTTTGAAATAAAATGTTTTCTTTTACTGAACCAAGGTAAAGGTGGCTTAGAGTTAAGAAGTTCACTTAGAAATTTCATAGCTGTCACCTTTCTGGCCTAATGTTCCTACCTAAAATATTGTAGTTCCTATAATTTTCAAAGGCTGTCAGATAGATTGGCTCATTCTACAGTACTTTAAAATGATAATGACATAGGCAGCTGTTTCATTATTGTTCATTGGCCCTTCAGTTTTGGAGTCTATCTTGGGTTAAAAAGTTAGCTTGAAAAAGGAGTTTGTAGTGTAAAAAGATGAACCCTTTTCATTGCTCTTTACTACTTGCCTTAACCAAATTCTTGGGAATGTTTCTGCATCTGGGGAGTGAATGGGTTTAGGGAAGGTGGTGGGAGAGTTCAGGTAAGGGATAAGGAATTTGGACCTTTAGTGGTAGTTTACCCTGGGCTGCATTCAGCCTGAGAACCCAGGGATTCTCTCACCAAACTTGTAATGTTTGAGGCAATGGTTTCATTATTTTACTTCTCTTCTGAGAGAGACTCCCTTTCATTTTGAGGGAGTAAATCCTCTATTATTTTCTGAGGAAGAATCATATTTCGAGGCCTTGCATTTTGAAATATATTTTTATTCTGTCCAATAGTTGGACATTTGGCCTTAGAAGTTTTGTTAATATTTATATTTTTATTTTTCAGAGAGAGAGAGAGAGAGAGAACACATGTGCACAACATGTGTAAGCAGGGAAGGAGCAGGTAGAGGAGAGAGAGAAGCTCTCTAGTTAGAAGCTCTGAGCATGTAGGTTTGTCTACACCCAGCATTTACTGAGGGAGATATGAGTAGAATTTTTTTGTGGGAACCCCAGTGCAGTCTCATGAGATTTTTCAGTATTCTCTCTACTGGCCGCCCTTTAAGTGAGTTCTGCATACTTTTAGAAGCAACATACACTTTTTAAGATTTAGTTTCCCTTTTTCCTTGAAT